CTCAGTAAAAATGTCACCTGTTCAGAAGGTTCTTCCCCACCCACCAATCTCAAGTAGCCTCTGACCCTACACTCCACTGACCACAGCACCCTAGTGTTCCCCCTTCCTAGCATGTCATCTGAGATCACTCCACTTAGTTATATCTGTCTGGTCTATCCCTGTACCCTACCTATCTCTAGACACCCATCTCTCCCACCCCTGTTACAGTGTTAATCCCAGGACAGCAGGGTCTTTTCTGCCTTGCAGGCTGCTCTAGCTCTGGTATCTAAATGAGTCTCTTGGTCATAGAAGACATTCAGTAAATATTTGCCAGATAAATGCTGGAGAGGGCGGATAGCATAAACCCCAATATATCAGGAGTGTTCAGTTTCAGAAGATGATTTATTTCCATGTTTACTGGGAAATAATCCTGTGAATCACATAAAATGTAGCCAGATCAATGGACCCAATTCAAGAATTCAACCACTTCATATTTCCTTTGGTTTGCTAAGACAGAACTCACTAAGAACTCACTAAGACAGTTCAACCAAAAAGATAATATTTTGAATCTGGAATGTGAAAGGCCCCTGGAATGCATAGAAATGTCTAGAATGCAAATGTTTTGAGTCTAGAATTTACAGCTTTGTTTTCCAGGGTTGAGACAAGTTATAAAGAAGGAACACTGCTGCCTTTTGAGTTATCCTGATATTTTCCTCTCAGAGCCTTATTTTCTGAAGGCAAAAATAACCCTAGCTACTGAATATTGAACATCTGTAATGTGCCAGTTGTTTGACATACACTATCTTGACTCTTCAGCACCACACTATACAGCAGATATACCCATTTGATAGTTGAGAAAACTGAGATAAGAAAATGTGGCCAAATGCAAACAGCTTATAAATGGAAGAGATGGGATTGAAACCCTAGCTGGTTTAACTTTAAAGGATGTGTTCTTCCACTGTCCAGAGCTGCCACTCCCAAAATTAAAGAATGGTTCAGCATTATATGGAGCCCTGGTGGCGCAGTAGTTAAGAGCCTGACTGTTAATCAAAAAGTCTGCAGTTGGAATCCACCAGCCATTCCCTGGAAACCCTATGGGGCAGGTCTACTCTGTTGAATGGGGTCACTATGAGCTGGAATCAACTCAACGGCAACAGGGTTGCTTTGGCTTTCGTCAGCATCTTATGAGGGAGCCAAGGTGGGTGTTTAATTCCAAGAGCCCCACTCCACCCCACCATTGAAAGATAAGTCAAATCCCACCCATTGGGATTTGGCAATGGCATCTAAGGACCGTGTGGATGAGAAGCTTTAGAATAAGGACCCAAACACAGGACACAATTCAAGCAAGAGAGCCCCCATACAGCTTCATGATTTAAGTTTCTTTGTCTCCTCCCCCATCCACTATGCCTATTCTTTTCCTACAAGATGTTAGCTCTTGATTTCAGGGATGAAAGTCACAGAAATAACCTGGGTGGGCAGTTAGAGGACCATACTGTTCAGTGATCAATTAGCAACAGTCTAAGAAAGTGATAATTTATTTTGTTTTGTTCACCAGCTATCACCAGGAGAGCCAATATATGCTAGCAGAAGTGTAGATACAAGACAGATGGCTAGAAATGCAACCACACACGTATATTTTAAGTATGTAGATTTGAGCCAGAAATAAATGAGGAGTGTGACAGCTCCAGGGTGAGAGAGACGTCTTTTCGGGTAGAAAAGATAAACTTGCCAACAAGTTAAATGAGTTAGTTTCCGGGATTCATTCATTGATTCAAGTATCTCTTACACTGTTGGTGGTGGTGGTGGTGGTTGTCATTGAGTTGATTCTGACACATGGCGAGTCCATGTGTGCAGAGTAGAACTGCTCCATAGGGTCTTCAAGGCTGTGACCTCTCAGAAGCAGATTGCCAAGGTTTTCTTTTGAGGCATCCCTGGGTGGGTTCAAACTGCCATACTTTCGGCTAGTAGTCAAGCATTTAAGTGTTTGCCATCCAGGGACTCAGATGGCACTTTTTTGTGATCATGGTGGGAAGAGAAAAACTACACCAGAGAGTTGTCAAGAATGCTTTCTGATGGACAAGCATAACAAGACACTGTCCGTGCTTACTGTTTGCCGGGCAATGTTCTGTATACAAATTAATCATCACAATAACCCTCTGCGGTAGGTACTATTATTATCTCCATTTTTCAGATGAAGAAACTGAGTCACCAAGGAGGCTAAGTGACTTGCGTTAGTCACCAAGCCAATAAAGCTCAAGGTGGGTTTCTAATCATGTTACTTGACGCAGAGTCTCCGATCTTAAACATGACACTCTTCCACTTGTATATGAGTAGCAACATCGCTGCCTATAAAAATGTTTTGCTAACATTGAGTGTCCTTCTCCTCTAAAAACAGTAGCATGTGAGAGCTGGAAAGTTCTACCATTAAAGGGACTGGGCACAGTAGTTTCGAACACCTATCTAAACTGCATGACCCTTTCATTACAGGGATTTTTACTCAACACTTGGAGCCCTGGTGGCACAGTGGTTAAGAGTTCGGCTGCTAATCAAAAGACTGGTAGTTGGAATCCACCAGCTGCTCCTTGGAAACCATATGGGACAGTTCTACTCTGTCCTAGAGGGCCGCTATGAGTCAGAATCGACTCGAGGGCAAAGGCTTTGGTTTGGGTTTTGGTTGCTCAGTCTATGACACAGAGAAAAGGGGCCGGGAGGCTCAGACCCGCATCTCACATTCCTCATGGGAGTTCAGTGAAAATCAGTGCTTCTGACCTTTTCCTGTCCCAACTCCCTTCTTAGAGACTCAAAACCAAGCCCCAAGGACCCTGCCTTAGTCTCCTAGGGCCACTGTAACCGAATACCACAAACCAGGCATCTTATAAAACAGACATGCATTGTCTCACAGCCCGGGAGACGAGGAGTCTGGATTCAGGGTGTCGACAAGGCCGTGCTCCCTCTCTGAGGCCTTTAGGGGACGGTTCCCTCCTGTTTCTCCCAGCTTCTGGTAGCTGTAGGTGTTCTTCGGCTCACAGAACTCTGGTCACGTGGTTATCTGGCCTCTGTGTGTCCTTCTGGTCTTTTCCTTTTTAGGACACCATTCAGACTGGCTTAGAACGCACCCTACTCCAGTGTGGCCTCATGCGATCTTACTGATAACATTCTCAGAGACCCTATTTCCATACAAGGTCACATTCACAGGTTTGGGGGTTAGGGCTTGAACATTTCTTTTGCAGGGGGACACAGTCTGATCCATAACAGACCACTTTCTACTCCTGCTTACACTTCCCCATCTGTCAATTAGGGTGACTGAATAATCAGTATGATTTTCTGAGCACCTACTAAGGCCGCCTATGTGCGAGGAGGGTCCCTGAACTCTGAGGTCCCGGGAGCCATGAAGACACAGTGGGCACGTTGAGAAAATCTGATGCATGAGAAAGGCCTCCTGGATCTGCTCAGAGGGGCAGTATCTGTGGATTCTGCAGGGGCCAGGGAACAGAGAACTCCAAAGTGGCCAGGCAGCAAGACACTCGTTGCAATTCGGATTCTCTTCAAGGATGGTTCCTTGAGGACCACGCTAATCGCAGGTCCCAAACAGACCGCCTGGCCCTGCCACTCACCCACTCCCTGGCAGGCCCTGTGACTTCAGAGGGAAGGGTGGGGCCAGAGCGCTAGTGCTCCCAGCTGTAATCATCCCAATGCTGCTGTTTCGTGTTGCTTTCGTTGTTTTTGCCCTCACAGAGTGAATAGATATCTTCTTTTTTTTTGCCACAGGAAATTTTGGGGGCTAAACAAGTATGTGTGGGCATTGCTGGTTCCGTGATAGAATTCTCCCCTTCCATGTGGAAGGCCCAGGTTTGATTCCTGACCAATGCACCTCATGCACAGCCATCGCCCGTCTGTCGGTGGAGGCTTGTGTGTTGGGGTGACGCTGAACAGGTTTCAGCCGAGCTTGCAGACTCAGATGGACTAGGGAGAAAGGCCTGGCGATCTACTGATGAAAATCAGCCAATGAAAATCCAGTTTGGAGCAACCAGAATGCGGAAGTATTGAGAATGTTCACAAATTGGGAAGAATGTAACCAATGTCACTGAACAATTTATGTAGAAACTGTTGAATGAGAACCTAAACTGCTGTGTAAACTTTCACTGAAAACACAATAAAATATCACAAAAATCAGAAGAAAGAAAACCCCTTCAATCACAAGGTTCAATCCCACAATCCATCACAGGGATGGCACAGGACTGGGCAGCATTTGGTGCTGGGCATGGTGTCACCGTCAGTTGGGGATGACTCAACGGTAGCCAACAAGAACAACGAAAGTGTACGCGTATTTTTAAGGCTTTTCACGAGCTTGCTGCAGGGGTATGACACTCTTTGTTATAATCTCCTCCCTAAAATGGAGGAAGGAGGAGAACCAGAAAGAATTAGTGCGTTGAGCATGAGTTCCTGAGAGCCTGGCATTTGGGAGATGTTGCCAAGGGTTATTCTCAGTCCAACTTCCCATGCTGGCCTCCCTGGCCGTGGGTGGCCACAGACCACTGGGTTACAAGGGTTCCTTTCATCTCCACCCAAACCAGATGGCTCTCCATTGTTCCTTCTCTCCTGAACGCCTCCTTCCAGAATGCTTGCTGCTATTTCTTCTCCCCAAAACCTGGAGGCAGTTGTTTGACTCCAGGAGGTGGACCAGCTTGAAACTATAAATAGTTCTAAGAAGGGAGACCACATGTTTTACTGGAAAGAAAGTTCTGGGGTTCAAAGAAGTCATGGGTCACTGCTCTATAACTAACCAGCTCTGTCCTTGGGGCAAGCATGCAGAACTCCTTGGATCTCAGACTTCTCATCTGTAAAGCAGGATAATCATTCCCACCCTTCCAACCTCACATGGATTCTGGGCGTTTTTGTGATGTGCCGTATAAACTGAATAATCTCTTCGAGGGAGCCGGGTAAATCATGGGTGCAGTGACAGGGACTGCTGCCAGGTGCCTTTGTTTGCTAACACCCACTTGGCCACTCAGCCCCCTTACCTGCTGCGGCCAGAGCCTCCAGGAACGTGGTACATGAAGACATTTCCTCGGGCCTGCCTTGCCCAGTGGCTGGCCATGTCAATCCCAGGGCAGGTGATGAAGTAGTCCCTGGCGAAAGAAGGATGAGCAGGGAGTCTAGTTATGTGTAGCTCTATGGACAACTGTGCTGGCTGAAACATGTCCACAGGCTAGGTCACCCAGGCCCTCTTCCCAGGCCTGCAGATAAACCCTCCCTGCACTGCCCAGAATGCCACTCCAACGACTCCACCACCTCAGGTGGCCAGACGGTGGTGGGCCAGATTGGAGGACCTTTGTCCACTTTGGTGTAAGGCTGGCCACGATCACCAACTGGTGTTCCCCGCTACGGTGTGATGGATCGCTTCTGTGTGGCCTTTCTTGCCATGGTCTCGTAACTCCCACCCAAGTGATTGGGTGGGGCTGTGCAGATAACGTAATTGTGGCCTAGTGAAGGGATTGGTCAATTTTGCCATCCTTCTGGGCTTGAAGTGAGTCATCTGAGAGGTGCAAGGGAGAGAATCCCACCACCACCAAGGAAGAACAGCCAGGAGCAGACAGCGTGTTCTTTGGAACTGGGATTCCTGTGCTGAGAAGCTCCTGGAAACAGGAGACAGAGAGAGGCTGAGAAGCAGTGGCAGAGAAACAATGGCAGGAGACAGTGTGGTGGGATTCCCAGCCCATGGAGCAAGCAAGCTGAGTGCCTTTGGGCAGGAGGCTTGCTGGTGGAGTATAGTGCCTCTGGGCACTTATTAGCAGAGCTAAAAGAGGTTTGCAACACTTGCCCCTAAGCAGGGGAGAGGCCTAGGTCCAGAGAGAGGCAGGCCTGTGAGCATGGCTGGGAAGAGGCTGTCCTGATGGAAGAATTGTATCCTGAGTGTTTCTGAACCTGAATTGTAACCTGTTACTTCCTTAATAAACCCCGTAACTGTGAGTATGGTCTGTGAGTTCTGTGTGGTCAGTGTAATGAATTATGAAACCCAGCATAGAAGCAGAGAGCGCCGTGGGAGGGACGGTTGGTGTCAGAATTGGTAAAGACCGCGGAGAGAGGAGGCCTGTCTGACCTCCACCTCATAGGAATCAGCCTTGGGCTACTGATCTTGATTCTCCTTACCCCCTGTGAAGTTAGAGGAGGTCAGATGCTGCCCCCACATCATTTTTACACCAGTAGCCCATTTAGGGTCAAGAAACTCATAGGATAAACATTACCTCCTAACATCAGTTTGACTTAAAGATTTGGGGGCAAAGCATTTTAGTGCAAAACAAATACTGATAGTCTCTGGAGCGGAACATGAAATAAGTGTGCATTTTAAAAGAAGGCAGAGACTTCAAGGGCATTTCACGCACATGAGGCCCTTAGGCCAGCGAGTCTCAATGGGGGTGATTTTACCTTCCTCACCCCTGCCCACCTGGAGACATTTCTGATTGTCACGGTTTGACGGTTGGGGGGTTTCTACTCGCCTCTAATGGGTGGAGTCAAGGGATGCTTTTAAACACCTACAATGCACAGAACAACCCCACAACAAAGTATTGCCCAGTCTCAAATGTCAGTAGGGCTGAAATTGAGAAAGCCTGCCTCAGCCTCCGAGAATTTCACGTTTGCTCCCCCGCTGGGGGTAGTTTGGTGACTAAATACAGAAGCATCAGCTCACTGCAATGAGAACTTGTGTGTTGTAAAGCCAAGGGTGTGTGCTTTCAGAAGCAGAAGGCCTGTTGACCTCAGCCAGCCAGGCTGTGAATACCACCTGCATTGCTAAGTTAGGACGAGACCCCCAGCAGTCCTGAAATGTCCTTGAATCTCACCCACCCCAGCTGAGACATGTGGGAATGGGCCCCACCCTGTAGCAAGTTGTAGTGGCCGAGTCTGACCCCAGGCATGAAAGTCACTCAAGAAGGAGCATCATCCACCCTTTTCTGAAGGAGATTTGAACGTCCTTGGTGAGTCTCCAGGGCGGCCCGAGTGTTTACAGAGAAGGCTACAAGGTAAGGTGCAGTCAGCCATGTGGGCCTGAAAGGGCAGCTGAAGGAACTGGCCTGCACCTCCTGGCTCCCCTGAGGAGCTGTCAGCAGGACAGAGGTGGGATCAGACTTTGGGGACTTGCCCTGTGATGTCTTCCCCCCTCATCAAACCTGAGCCCTCACCCCAGGTCGTCCTCAAAGCCAGTTCAGGGTTTCTGAGTTTGTTCTACAACGCCATTCGGAGTCAGTCCTGACTTACTTATAAGCATCTCGGGGCCAGGGACTTGGACATCTGTGAGTTCATAGAGTGCAGCCTACAGCTGGGCCTCCATAAATAGCTGTTGGCAGTTTGATTTGAAGCTGAGCTCTTCACTAGAGGGAAGATTAAAGCCTTTCTGGTCCCCAAGACCCAAGTGGGCTGTGCAAAGTTTTACTCGGAGCTAGTAGCACTCAGATTGGAAACCACAGACTCCTGGTACAAGTTCCAAGCAGGGAGGTAGGTCTGTAGCCCCTTCCTTCCCGCCCATTCCTGGCAGAGCTCAGGACAGCAAAGGCATCTGGCTCTGTCCCCAGAGACAAAGGTCAAGTGTGGACCTCCCAGAGGAAGAGAAAGCAGAGTCACAGCATGCTGAAACCTCCAACCGTGTTTTTCCCACTCGGACAGCAGAGCCTTGCAAAGGGACTTGAGAGCAAGTGGCTGGGCCCGTGAGGGGTTCCACAGTGACGTGAGAGCTGGAGCGCTCACTGCAGTCTCATCCCCAGGGGGCTCTTAGGAGGGGAGAGCTGGAACCCTAGTTATTCTGTATTTCCACCAAAAATCACTTCTTGACCATTTGCTGCACACACATAGAAAGCACAATTCTTGGCCCCGTGGTCTCATGGAGTGCTGGGAGGCGGCGCGTCCTTATGCCTGCAGTGTGGGTGGGCTCAGTGCAGAGAGAGAGGGACCCTCGGCCACAGCAGAGCCTGGGAGGCAGCCTTTAACCCCTCCTGGGGTGCCGGAGAAGGCTTTCTGGAGTAAGAGAAGCTGGAGCAACAAAGAGGTAGGGCCTACGGGCACCTGAGCATGTAAACAGTCCCCCAGGGAGCCATGTCAGGAGCCTGGGTCTGTGCCTGGGTCAGGCACCAAACCTTCCCCCATGCAGGCCTCAGTTTCCCCATGTGCAGAGTGAACCCTGGCTGCATCCAGGGAGCCTGGGTATCCATTGCCCTTTTAAAGCCTCCTCATGGGCCTGGGGTGCAGTGGGGTAAGACCACGGGCCAGACGAGTTTGAGGACCCTGCTTCTGTTAGCTGCTGTCCAGTCGATTCCAACTCATGGCGGCCATGAGTGTGAGGCCTTAGCTCTCAGCCTTTGCTGAGCTGCCTCGTGCATGGTGAACTACGGGCGCCTCCAGCAAGCGCATTGTCTCTATCCTCCAAGAAGAGCTGGGGTGGGCTGGCAGCCGGGTCCACCCCACCTGTCCTCTGGCAGGCGTTCACCACACTTTGTAAAGGGAATAACGATGACAAGGAAATGAAGCCCACAGAGTTCCTCGATGAGGATCAGAACACCAGCTGGACGCACACCAGATGGGCACCAGAAGCCCCGGCCTCTGCTGGCTTACCTGGTGGCGTTCTCCAGGGCCCAGGAGAAGGAGGCGTAATCGTCCGTGGAGTGCTCCAGGGAGTAATACCATGTCGCAGCAGCCTCGACCCTGGTATCCCCGTCCTCGCCGCCCAGGGAATTCTGCAGCGCCTGGTAGAAGGCGGTTTTGCTGCTGGTCCTCCCTTGACTTTCCTCAAATTGCTGAAGGAGAGAGACACAAATTCCCCAGTCAGATTCTGAAAGGCTCGACTCAGTATGGCTCAAACCCTTGGCCTAGAGTTTTCTCTACGGGAGGCCGGGGGACATGGTCTTAAGTGCGTGGGTGCTGGAGACAGAAATACCAGCTCTGCCTCCCTCCGGCTCTGTAGCCTAAAGCAAGCTGTTTACCCCTCTCTGCCTTGGCTCCCACATCTGAACAATGCGTACAGTGGCCGTGCCGTCTGCATTGGTTATTAAAAACACCAGTACCAGTTGCCCTCAGAGGATTCCAACTCATGGAGACCTCATGTACGTCATCGTAGAACTGTGCTCCATAGGGTTTGCAATGGCTGATTTTTCGGAAGCAGATCCCCAAATCTTTCTTCCAAGGTGCCTCTGGGTGGACTCGAACCACCAACCTTTTGGTTAGCAGTTAGCGTATTATTATTTGCGCCACCTAGGGACTCCATAGGGTTATTGTAAGGACCGAAAGGGCCAATGCGCGTGAACTACTTCAAAGGGTGCTCAACAAATGTTAGCTGTTGTTGCAATTTGACACCAGGTCCCATACCTGCTTCTCACTCGCTCTACCTGGGCTGCTGTCTCAGCCAGCTCCTGGTTGGCCAGGATCTGGTTTTGTTAGAAGAGCTACATTCAGCTTCATTCTTTGATTCAGTCATTCCACATTTGTCTTATGTGCACTTCTACACTTATATACATGGTCTTCAGGCAGGCCAACTTGCACGCCAGGCCTGGGAAACAGCGGTGAACACGCTGATCAAGCTCTCTGCTCACCGGGGCTCACGTTCTAGTGGGCGGAGATGGAAAATGAGCAAAGAACAGACAGCTCATGGCGGGGGGCAGGTGCTAGGGAGAAAAGAGGGAAAGAGGAAGGCTTTTATATAGGATGGTCAGGGAAGGCAAGCAGCTCTCTGGATGGGAGTGTGCAGTTGGAAACGTTATCCATTCATTTATTCACTCGCTCACTCATTCCCTCACTCGCTCGCTTGCTCGCTCACTCATTCATTCGAGTCCTGACTTTCCTGCTGCCTGCACTGGGAATCTGGGTGGATCATTTTCCTCCCCCAGGACTCAGCTTCCTCATTTCTGAAGACAAGAGTGGGGGTAGGTGGAGCACCAGGGGGGCAGCTCCACAGCCGGAGGCCCAGACTCCTCGGCCCTTGGGCAGCCCCGGGCTGTGTGTTTACATATTTCTGGGATCTTGTAGAAACAGGGAAATGTGCTTATCAGAGCACCCTGGCTTGTTCCAATTGTTTCTCTAAATATTTGCAAGCACACAGGGTCTGTGAGCGGAATTCAGTAAGTAGCCCTCCTGGGGAGGACATCTTTTTAGACGTCTTTCAGCCACCCCAGGGGCTCCGGGTGCTGATCTCAGCCTGGCCTAATAAGAGGGAACTGGGCCACAGCGGTGGAATAACTGATCAAAGGCAACGCCACAGGCAGCTGCACACGAGCTTCAGTGAAGGCGAGGGCTGGGTCAGGAGTTGTTTTTATTCTACCCAGAACATTTGATTTCTTGGGAAGAAGTCTGAAGCAAACATGGCACAATATTAACATATGTTAAATCTGAATAGTGAAGCCATGAGTGTTCATGAGAGAGGTGGCTTGCAAATATTTTTAACCACAGTCTGGAATGAGAAAGACATTTCACACACATATACGCACACACGCACACACATGCGAGCACACATACACACACACACACATCCGAAATAACATCCATGACATAGTGCTCACTTTTACCATGTATGACACATCCTATAGTTGCCATTCTAGTCTAGTCTAACCTAATCTAGTCTTATCTATTAAAAATGCTTGCCTGCAATCTAATGAGCCAATCCCTATAGTTTGGGGTAAAAAATGCATTATATTCCTCTGTTCTTTTCTGAGTGTTGGAATATTTCATAACAAAAAAAAAAAAAAAAAAAAAAACTGATAACAGCAACCCCTGGCATCCTTCCTATCATTGCTAAACTTTGTGTTGAACATTTTACATCTGTTTCACTGAAGTATGAGAATAGCAATGGGGATTGAGCATTATGTTATCCCATTTTAAAACCTTTATTCTAAGGCTCAGAGAATCTGGATAGCTTATTCATGTAGACAGGGGCATGAGCTGGGATTCACCCCACGTCTCACTGACGGCGAATGTCAGACCCTTTCCCCCTGGCTATAACTTAACCATGACCATGACCTCACATTAGGGCTGTAGACCACAGGGACCTCAGTCAAATGGCAGGATAGAAAGCCTGCCTACTGGGTGTGTGGTCCACTGCATGAGAAAACATTGAGTGTGGAGTCAAAATTTAGGGTTCAAGTCCTAACTTCCAATTTTAGGGGGACCTTAGAAAAGACATTTCATCCCTCTCTGAGACTTACATCTTTAAAAGGGGTATGATAATATTCATACAGGCCCTGTTTTGTCTCCCGTGAGGATAAAGTAACAAAAGCAGTGTGAAGATGATGTGTCAGCTCCAAGATGTCCCACTGCAAGTCGTGGCTGGTTTTGGGGGAATACAGTGGGTGCTGGCTAAGAGGGGCCAGCAGGTCTCAGTGCAAGGAGCGAGGGTCCTAGAGCCAGTGACTCCAAGTCTGGATCACGTCTCCTCCACTTCCCGGCTGTGTGGCTTTGGGCAAGTCACTTACCCTCTCTGACCCTCACATGCAAAATGGAGACCATTACAATCCACAGTATTGTCTTGAGAATTAGAAATGATATTTTGAAGCACCTAGCTCCAAGCCTGGCATGTAGACCTTAAGAAGCTGGAACTGTTTTCATTCGTCATGGGTTTCATCGGCTTCAATTAGAAAACCGAAGGCTGAACGCAGAGCCCAGCCCACCATATTAAAACCAGGAAACCATTCAGAGCTGGGGTGTGCATCTATCTGCATGGAAGAAAGCTGCCTCTTGCTTTAATTTCTATCCTCATTTCTTCATGTGAAGAATAAGGAAATTCTCTGCACAACTGTGCAAGAAAATGCAATGATTGGTCGTTCCAGGGTGTGTCAAAATGGTGTGGCCCAGTGTGCTCAGCTCAGCGCTGAGGCAAGGGCCTCAAGGGGTGAAGGCAGAGATGGGAGGAGACAGAAGTAGTAAGACTCTAGGGCCTGTTCTGCATATATCTCATGGAGGAATTCTCAATGTCCTCCCCACACCCCAAGCACTGGGTGGGCCTAAAATCCAGAGACAGAGCAGAAGTGGAGGGGAGGCTCAATCCTGGGAGAGGAGTAGGGTACAAGGACCCAGGGGCCAGTGGCTTTGTATTGAGCTTTCCTGGGCTGCTTTGCCATTTGGGAGGCATCCTGCTGCTGTTGAGTTGATTTCAACTCATAGCAACCCTATTAAAAACAAAAAAACAAAAAACCCACTGCTGTCGAGTCGATTCAGACTCACAGCAACCCTACAGGACAGAGTAGACCTGCCCCACAGGGTTTCCAAGGCTGTAATCTTTATGGAGCAGACTGCCACACCTTTCTCCTGTGGAGGGTCTAGTGGGTTTGAACCACCAATCTTTCGGTTAGCAGCCGAACACTTTAACCGCTGTGCCACCAGGGCTCCTGTGGGAGGCATAATCCTCCCTCAGTTCCTAACATGAGGTGGCCATGGTGCGCTCGGGGTTCCAGCATCCGCTGTGCTGGCGATTTGCTGTGCAAACTCAGGCAAGTGGCAACCAATCACAGGACGATAGGAGACCAGGCAGCCTTTCATTCCGCTGTGCATGGGTCGCCCTGAGTTGGGGGCCAACCTGACAGCAGCTAACCACAGCAATGCTCCCTGTGAGACGCTGCTGGCCAGGATTTAGAGGAAGATGCAGAGTGGTGGGTTGATGTTGTCCAAGGAATGCCCCCAGGACACTGTGATACATTCCCAGGTGTTGTTATTGTCAGTAAATGTGTCTACTGCTCCAGAACCACCATGCAGCAGAGGCGGCAGGGACTGTCCCCACAGCCTCACTGTTCAGTCTGGTGCCAACCACTCAGTAGATGCTCAGTAAATACGTGTTGGACAAATGAATAGAGACTACACTGCCTTTGTAGAGAAAGTACAGGCTCTAAAGCCAAACCTCTGGACCCAAATCCCAGAATTAGAAAGATCTGGGCTTGGATGCTAGCTTTGCTACTTATAAGCTGTGTGCCCTTGGCAAGTTACTTAATCTCTCTGTGACTTTGTTTCCTCATCTATAAAACGGGCACAATAATATCATCCTCTTCATAAAACTGTCATGAAGGTTAAATGGGATGATACTTATAAAGTGTTTAGCACCATGCCTGTTATTACTGTTGTCAGATATTTGTAGATTCAACCTTATATCTAGTTTCAATGGTCCAGGGAGTCCATGTCTTAGAGCGGCTTAACAGGGCTTGTATCATTGGCTGTGGGTCCAAATACTTGGAGCCCTTCTTCCAAACCGCTATGGAAAGTGAGCGACCCACCTGAAGGCTACAGCTTCCTTCATGTGTACCTCAGAAACTCTTTCTATAATAAAGTAGCTTTGGACAGTAGCAGGGCGCCAAACCCCAAGCATTGCTAAAGGAGATGCTGCTTACATAAAACGGTCTAAACAGCTTCACAGCTAGGAAGCTAGGGAGGTGTTCAGTTGATGCAGCCATAAGATTGAGACTAGAGTATCCCATTTTAAGGGGACCTGAACCGCTGAGACCAGCTGGACCTGGCCTTCTTGGCTGGTCAGTATTCTGGACCATGCTGCTGTAGGGCACGTGGGGATGCAGAGGGGCACATTTTCAGCAGGACCTGGAACCTACATCTATCCATTCTTGGCAAGGACCAGGAGCACAGATGCTGTTGCTGGTTTAATTAGAGAGTCAGCAGGGGGTGCCGGGGCCACCACGTGACTCAAGCACAGCCTTCCACAAGCTGTAACTACCAGAGTTTCCTCAGGCCATGGATCTGCTGCAGGCCTGGACTTCAGGAAGGGGTTATCGAGAAGGACACGGCCTTTGTATGCGTTTTTAAGGGACGG